TTATTTTATCAGATTGCGAACACTGTGAAATTTTCCCTAAGTTAGGTACTGCAGGTATCGAGGGTGACGATGGCTTGAGCGATATTAAATCTAGTCTTGAACGTAATTTATGACCAAATAATATTTGGGAAGGTGAATGGCCTGTGGTAGTATGGATTGAATTACGATAATCCATTAGGTATATTAATAATTTAATAGATGTGTCCCTAGCAGTATTACTCGACAGTAAAGAAGTCTTAATATCCTTCTTAACAATTTTTACAAAACTTTCTGCCTGCCCGTTACTGGCTGGATGATAAACGGGTGTAGTTAGGTGTGTAATACCATTTACTTTACAAAAAAATTCAAAATCTTGTGAGCAGAAAGCCGTTCCGTTGTCACTCACTAACGTCTTAGGGATACCAAACCGGGCCATAAAATCACACAATTTATTTTTTACTGCAGCTGAAGTGGTACTCGTATTCATGTTATATACTTCTACCCATTTCGAGTACGCATCCACAATAACTAGGTAGGTACAGTTCCTAATGGGCCCTAAGAAGTCTATGTGTACCCTAACGAACAGCCCGCACGGATATTCCCAGGACACAGGCGGTGCGCGGGGCGGCGCGGGGCGGCGCGGGGCGGAGCTGCGTACACACATCACACGAAGCTATCATGAGTTCCAAGGACTTATCAATACCGGGGAACCAAAACCGAGATCTAGCTTCTGCTTTTGTTTTTACGATTCCCAGGTGCGAAGTATGTAGTTCTTTCAAAATCACTTGATACAAACTCTCAGGTAAAACTATCTTGTGCCCTCTCATAACACAGCCCTGTTCAACCGATAGTTCTGATTTACATAAGAAATACGGTTTTATTCTTAAATCATTACATTTCGGTGGCCAACCATTGATAATAAATTTCATTATTTGATTTAGAATCACATCTTTATTAGTTTCTTCTCGTAACTTATTTAAGGTAACCGGCATACTGTCATTGTCCATGACAAAACAAATGTAAAGAGCGCGATCGCATCCTATCTCTGTCTCGCGGCAATTTTGTTCGGTGCACGTGCACCGCCCGCGCCGGCGAGAGTGCAGGTGCGGGCCGCCGCTGTCGCCTCTCGGAGCTGATAAGCTTGCGCGAGACAGATAATCTGCACAATTATCGCTGCTACGTACATATTCAATTGTGTAGTTATAACTACTAAGAAATATCGCATATCGCTGCAGCCTATTTGCAGACATTTCGGGTATTCCTTTATACGGACCGAAAATAGAAAGCAACGGTTTATGGTCCGTACGTAATATAAATGGCACTGATCGACCGTACAGATATTGGTGGAACCTACGGACTCCGTAAATAATAGCAGTGGCTTCTTTCTGTATTTGCGCATAACGTTTTTCAGCAGCATTTAATGTTCGAGATGCGTACGAGATGGGTTTTTCGGTGCCGTCTGCTTCGACTTGTGACAACACAGCCCCCAACCCACTCGGTGAAGCGTCCACTGTCAATATTAATTTAGATTTAGGATTAAAATGAGTTAAAACCTGTTCCGATGTCATGATTTTCTTTATACTATCGAATGCTGACTGATGTTCGGTTGACCAGCCCCATTTACGACCCTTTTTTAATAAATCATATAACGGGCTTAAAATGGACGATGCATTTGGTACAAAATTTCTATAATAGTTAATAAGGCCTAAAAATGACTGCAACTGATGAACATTTGTAGGCACCGAAGCTTCCGACATTGCTTTTACTTTCTCCGGTGCTTTCTTTAGTCCATCCCTTGACACAATATAACCTAAATAGCTAATCTCGTTCTTAAAGAAACTACATTTATCTTTATGTAAGGTTAGCCCGGCATCTTGCAGTCTACTCAGTACAGTGTCTAATCTCTCAAGATGCTCCTGGTGGTTAGCCCCCCCAAATATTAAAACATCGTCAAGCAGACAAACTACCCCGTCAACGCCGGTTAGGACGCTTTCAATGGCCTTTTGAAATATTGAAGGCGCGCTTGACAATCCAAACACCAATCTAGTGAAATTATAAAGCCCTTTGTGAGTATTTATGCATGTTAGACTTTGAGAATGTTCACTTAAAACAAGTTGATTATATGCGTTTGATAAGTCTAATTTCGAAAATAGTTTACCTCCGTGGATTTTGGAAAACAATTCATTAATTGTAGGTAATGGATATTGTTCCATTAGCAACTGTTTATTTATTGAAACGGAATAGTCGGCACATAGTCTTACCGATCCATCTCGTTTCAATACAGGTACTATGGGTGATGCATAGTTTGAGTATTGAACTGGTTTCAAAATGCCTAATCCGACCAATCTGTCGATCTCTTTACCTACTTTGTCTTTCAATGCAAATGCCACCGTACAAGCTTTAAAAAAAATTGGTTTAGCATTTTCTTTTACTTGTAAATTTATTGAATATTTATTAAATTTACCTAAACTGTCGGAAAATAATTGAGAGTATTTTCCTTGTAATTGCTTAATTAATGATTCTGTAGGTTGGCAATAATTAATAGGTAATAATTGTAATTTAAACTTAGCAATAAAATCCCTACCTAATAATGGCGGGCCACCTTCCTTAACTACGTAAAAATCTATTGTGTGAGTAGTTCCAGAGTAGTGAACCGGTAATTGCATTGTACCTATACAAACAATATGCCTACCATTATAGGACATTAACCTCTTCCGGGTAACTGATAACGACACATCTTTGAAATAAGTTTTGTAATATTTCTCAGAAATCACCGTTACTGCCGAACCACTGTCAATTTCGAATTGCAGCGAAAGGTTATTAATTAATATTGTTTCTACCATAGGCTCTCCAAACAAAGAACGGATATGATAAATCTTACCATCATCGCTCTCACCGTCCTCACCCTGGGCACCGCAATCCACTACGTAATTCACTTTGGGGCACATTTTACGTAAATGACCGCGCGTATTGCACTTTTCACATTTATATTTAGCGAATTTACACTCCGCGGTTTTATGATTCGTATACCCGCAAACACTGCACTGTACCGTTTTCCCACTTTGCGTGGTTCTAGATATTTTAAACACCTGACTATCTTGTTTGGTGACGGCGCAGTCCGACGACGCGCTAGCAACAGCCGCTGCACGAGCATGACTGGCACTCTGTGCTATTTCTATGACATTTGCAAACGTCAGGTTCGTCAGATCATGAGCGTAAAGTTTCTCCTTCTCATACCCCGGGCGCATGCCCATAATGAACCTGTCACGCAGCGCTTCCTCCACGTTAAGGAATCCACATCGCGAAGTCAGACCTCGAAGTCTTGCTGCCCACTGTGAATGAGACTCCTCCGTGTACTGCGTCGCGACGTAGAAATTATGTCGTTCACCAAATCCGACAGTCTTCGGCGTAAAATGATTGTCCAGCAATTTAATTATATCTTGGTAAGGCACCTCATTGATGTCTTTGGGCAAAGCCAAATCCGATGCCAACTTATAGGTAGCCTCCGTGAGTGCGCTAAGAAGGATGGTCTTCCTCTTCGTGCCCGTCGCATCTGTGCTGTTGTTGATATCATTAGCAATAAAATATTGCATAATGCGTCCTTTATATGTCTCCCATATTTGTAAATTATGGTCAAAACAACATAAAACACCAAACGACTGAGACATTTTTACTTTCGATGTGGGTAGGTATCGTCGCCAATGTTAAATATAAGGACTGGGTAGTGCACAAGTGAAACGAGCCGCTGCTAGTTACGCACTGCTTTATTTGACAGACACGACAGTGGTCGCAGCCATCTGCATATGTATATACATACATAACAGAGTGCATAAGCCTATAGTGGCAAACTTCTCACTCTGGGGCCCAGCTACCCCAGAGCACCCGGTGTCAGCGGGAGCGCATGACAAACAGAATTTACACATGGACATTTTAATTACGATATTCCCTCTTCCGGGCGAGGGAACCCTACCTGGCCTACTTCAAAAGGATTTTTGAACAAGTTTTCTCCTTTCGGCCCCCACCACGGAGGGTGGTAAAAATGGCCTCGTAATTTTCTTTTAACGTAAATTACATTAAATGTTCGCCGCGTAACCTAAAGAGAAGTTATGCATGAAGCCGAATGCAACTCATTTCACGAAAAATATTTACAGAGACATTCACATTTCAAAAATTACGCTCTTTTGGCATTAACTGTGCCTTTTTCTGTATCGTATTGTTTTTCAAGTACCGTACATATTTTATTGTTCTATGCCGCCGTAATTTGATAGTGTCACAAAACAGAATTACTCCCCTCGTAAATGAACTCGAAAACTGACATTGGTTAGCTTCGGGATAACAGGTAAACGAATAATCTACCCACTTTATTTTTCAAATAGGTATGCTTTTGTGTACTGTTGTTCTCCGAATTTTATATAGTAGGAGCATTTCTTACAGTTCAAACTATTTATATTCGTGAGAGTTCACTATTTATTCACCCTGACATATTTGCACACTTGTAGTCCCTATTAAACTCATAGAACCAGTGTTAATAAAAATTCGTTGGCCTTTAGATTAGAGCAACTACTGATGTTGTTGCATTTGATCTTCATCGATTATCGCCTATAACTTGTAAATAAAATGCTATCTACTCTCAGGTATATACTAGCGGTCGCCCGCGACTTCGTCCACGGTAACTTTAGTATTTTTGAGAATCCCTCAGGAACCTAACATTAATTCAGGATAAAAATTATCCTTTGTCTCAATCCAGGTAATGAACTATATCCCCCTTATTAATAAACGAGGAATAAGCTTCAACTAGTTACGCCATGTTTTGTTCATATCACTTAATAATAATCCATCTGGAGTCAGTAAAGATTGAGATTTTTAGTAACTCCTTTTAGATCAAGGAGTGCGGATTGTGTGTATGATTGTGGTTTTTGTGGAAAGAGTCAAGATTTCGTCGTCGGTATTCTAAGACCTGTCGACGAAATTAGAGTAACTCGCCTCAAATTTATTATTATATTATATTTAATTATGACCAGGCGGTGCAACCACGGGCGCGGTGGCGGGCGGACCGGGCAGCGAGGTGCCGTGCGTGGGCGCGTGCGCGCTCTGCGCCTGCTGCGGCTGCACGCTGCGCGAGGCGGCCGCGCGCCACGAGCAACGCGTCGCAGCCAACGAGCGACTCGAACGCGCCAACCTCGAGTGGAAACAGGTGACTTCTTCCTAATCACGGATTTTTAACAGAGGCGGCCGCGTGCCACAAGCAACGCGTCGCTGTCAACGAGCGACTTGAACGCGCCAACCTCGAGTGGAAACTGGTGACTACTTCCTAGTCGCGTTCTCTTAACAGAAACACAGAGGCTACCGCATGCCACGAGAAACGCGTCGCAGCAAAGGAGCGGCTCAAACGCGTAAACCTCGAGTGAAAACATGTGTCTTCTTCCTAGTCGCCAACTCTTAAGCCACGTTGACATGATCAAAGTCTGCTTGGACAAAGTAGCTTTTTTTGATAATTACTTTTACGCTACTTTGATCATGTAAAATAGTAATCACAGCGCACTTTGATGTTGGCGTCCAATGAAACTGGAAGTTGAATCGTACTCAACTTTTGTCAAAGCAACTTAGTTAAAGTAGACTTTGAGCATGACATCACGGCTTTACGTCCGAATCCGATACGCGCTGCTATGTTTTCATCATGGACCAATAACACATTAGGTTCTTTGACAAAGCAAACTTTGAGCATGTCAACGCGGCTTTAACAGAGGCAGCCGTTTGCCATGAGCAACGCGTCAACGAGCGGCTCAAATGCGCAAACCTCGAGTGGAAACATGTGACCTCTTCCTAGTCGCCAAATCTTATGGTAGCCATACACACTACGAGAAATCGTTACGATTAGACTGTACCGTCCGAACGGTATCGATAAATCGTAGCGTGTATGTTATAAAACTGCACAGTTTCCTATACGTACGCCACGTACGATAAACTGTTCCGTTCGAACTGTACAGTCTGATCGTAACGATTTCTCGTAGTGTGTATGGCTACCATTAAGCCGCGTTGTCATGCTCAAAGTCTGCTTTGACAAAGTAGCTTTTTTCGATAATTACTTTTGCGCTACTTTGATCATGTAAAACAGTAGTCACAGTACACTTTGATGGTGGCGTCCAATCAAAATCGAACTTGGGCTGTACTCAACTTTTGTCAAAGCAACTTAGTCAAAGTTGACTTTGAGCATGACATCTCGGTAGTGAAACGAGGGTGGGTCATAAGTATTTTAATCATACACATTTATTTTACAGTTAATTGAAACAACTTCATAAAATCAGGAATAATCTTTCAATCGTCGTCTTTTTGTTGCAAAAACATACGGCTTAGAGAATAAATTGCGACTTCGTCTAATTTAATAAAGATGAATTTTATCAGCAGCCAACGAAATACAAATTCGCTTAAGTGTTCAATTTCAATTCCAGTATAATAAACAAAGGTCGTAGAAAACAAGTTTTCAGGAATAAAGGTGTCCTGTAAATTTAAGTGAGACAACAGCGGGGCGGGTTCAATTGTTTTCTTCTGGGATATTTAAGAATCAACTCCTTAATTGACAGACTACATTTCCTATTACGACAACTTTAATTTAACGTTCTCGCACGTTTAGGATGTACTTGAAATATCGGATTTTAAAAATTGTATATTTTGCCAATGAATGAGATTTCCAATTTCCAAATTTCAATTGAGGCAGAAGTTTGTCTTCAAATGGAAAGATTTCGTGAGTCTTCCACAAGAGGCAAGTCTTCCTTATACAAAGTAATTTTAAGACTCAAGAAAGTATGGCATTCTTCAACGGACAGAAATGTATGGGTCATGTATCCACCGACCAATGACGATCAGCTGTCGTTAGATAGAACTTCTCATGAATATCATTTGTTACTATAGGGTCAAATCTCAGTACGCTGCTGTGGGAAAAAAGTTGTAGCCAAAAAAAAAATATTTAAAAACTTTTTATAAATTTCATCAATCAATCATCAACAAATAATAGTCGTGAAAAGAGCTTTCTAATGACATACGTCTGGTTGTTTTCGGTCGGTGGCAACATTTGACCCGTCGTCCTTTATCTTTAAGTTCTTGTGCCTGATACTGATTGATATTAATGGAAAATGGGTCCAATATTAAATAAGCTGTCAGATGTCCGCAGGTCATGATTTTTTGTCGTTTCCTACTAAACTACTTAACCAATTTTTAAGCGGTGACGACAATCTGAATGGATTGTTTTCTTTTGAGAATTTTTAAGGAAACAAACCATGGAAAATTGATCTTAGTTACGACATCCTGGCATTACAAATAAGGAAAATCGTCAAATAGCTGAAAAGTGATGGAGAATCCAGAGTACCTAGTTTGTTTTGAAATGATATAATATAGAAAAAGATTTTTTATATGCCTGTTAGGATTTGTTAAAATTTTATTAGTAGGACCGGAGTATTGGCAAACACAAATATTAAATATTTTACAAAAACAACATTTACATGGAAGATTTTAGTTTATTCATCATTAGTACGCACGGAGCAATGCGAAGCACTGTAATATATCAAAGAATAAAAGATTTTAAGGGATTTGTGAAAGCGTTTTGGAGTTATCCGAAACATAGCTTGGAGTGATCAGAGTGGAATAGGGTACACAGCACCTGAATACAGCACAGCACCTAAGTGTATCCGTAAAAACAGCACCTAACTGTATCCGTAAAAAATCATAAATAATAGTGATCAAAGCTCTAACACTCAGTAAGATAGATGAATTTTGGAACAATTTTAAATTTCCACAATGAAACAGTCTTTATCTTACAGTCTTTATCTAAATCTAGATAAAAGTCTAGATTTTTTTTGTATTGTATTATGATGTAGTTTCAAATATTTATGAGTTTCTTCCTAAGCATTGTGTCAGCAAACTTTTATAAGATTCCGCTTTATTTCTTACCAAAAAATCTTCACTAAATTCTTACAGACAGACGCCGCCAGAGTGACAGAAATAAGGTTCCGTTTTTATCCTTTGGGTACGGAACTTAAATAGTATGGACATGATTTTTGAATTCATATTAGATATTCGTGTCGTTACATTTAAAAATAGAGCTTTAAGAGACTAGATACGTTACTACTTATGCATTTTTGTTCTGAAATAAAAATTAAAAAGGGTGAAATACAAAGAAATTTTGTTTGGAAGCAAAGTCTGCAGACGATGTCCGTTACCAGATAGTTAATTGGTAGTATTAGGAGCCATAGCGGATTAACGCTCGATTTAGGAGCGCCCTTTTGGGAAAATAACCTTTACCTTACAGAAGATCGCGATATGGTGTTGTGTTTCTGTCTGTGAATTAGCTTTAGGGATCCATCCGCTAAAAAAAAAAATACGTAAAAAAATATTTTACTTTAATTTATTATTGTTCTTATATACAGATTTAGCATAACTTTATTTGCACTTAAAGTAATACAAAGAAAAATATAGTTCTATCTTTTCTTGTATGTTTTCCCAAGTACAAGGTTGACCTTGTACTTAGGAATCTACGTTTGTAAGGACGTAGATTTCTGGACATAGCTTTTCGACTTTTACAAGTGCTTGAAACTGTCTAGACTGACTAAGTGAACTTAATTATTCTAGTAAAATTAAGTGATATAAGGCTATATTGTCTTTCAGTGAGGTAAGGACTTTTCGGAACTTACCATGCTGCGAAAATATGAGGGCTTAGTAAATATTGTTCATTTGCCAATTCACTAAATTGCGTAAACATCTTCAATAACAACTTCAATCCTTCAATAATAATAATAAATATTTCCAACACTCACACCAATTAGCCTAGCCCCAAATTAAGCACTGTAAGGCTTGTGTTATGGGATACAAGGGTAACGGATAGAATACATATACAATACATATATAAGTATATTTATATAGAAATACATATTAAACATCCATGACTGGAGTGCAAATGTTCGTATTCATCACACAAACATCTGCCCCCACCGGGAATCGAACCCGGGACCTCTCGAGTCGGCGACACCATGAGACCCGGCGTACAAACCACTTGGCCACGGAGGTTGTCAATCCATTTCTAATACAACTATTGACGTATATACCTACATAATATCAGGTAAATAACTATTTTATAACTCCTGTGTCGACCGTATCAGCTATATGTGTATAACAAAAAAAATAATTAATGATTTTTTTCACCTAAACTTTGTTCACACCGCGCACGGAAAACAATATACAGGGGAATACAATAACGGATCGCTATGTTTCGGCGACAAAGAAAAGTTCTCTTATTTGTAAAATTTGTATACAAAACGTGTGTTATTGATTACTCGAACAATCAACGAACAATTTTTCGTAATCAAAAGTTGTTTGATCTGAAATCTGAACATGGTTTTCAGTGAATAATGTAATTTAAAAGACGCGCTTTAAAATCGTATTGAGAGACGTTTTAATGTATTGAAATGATATTTTTCTTGACTGACCACATGTTTGGTAGAGCAATTTTCCACATTTGTAAATGTGATAAACACGCGTTGCAGTTTAATTTTATCATATGTCCTATTTTATTTTATTGAATATAGTAGAGATAAGACATTTTTTACTGTACATCAAACCTCGTCCAATCCTATACGAGATAATTTTTTGTTACTTTTTATTGCCATAATGACCTTGTTGATAACAAAGAAAAGCGTAGGCCCATATGCAAAACCATGAAATAGATAAATTTAGGTACTACATCAATTACGACAATTCGTTCTAAGTAAAGACTTTAAACCTAATACGATATTGGTTTTCAATTATACGTGTAAACTTACCATTTTCTTCTTTTTAACATATCAATTATTACCAGGTGGCGGTGGTAGCAGATCGGGCGCTTTTAGCCGTTTTCGTGCTCGTCACCACCATCTCGACAGCAGCCATTCTCCTGCCGCAGCTAAACAATCTGCACGTCGGAAACACACCTCTACAGCCACCCACTTAAAGTCTTATATGCCAAGAGTGGGCACAAAGACGCAAAATCAAAGACTTACCAACGAATTAATTAGACGCCATAGTGGAAAGGGGTGCTTGTGACAAAACAAGTATATCTATACTATAAATTGATGGTGAGAAAAATCTAATTTCAAAGCTGGCGTTGGTGACGACAATGAGAAGGTACTTAATCGAAATTTTCTATACAGGGGATGTATTTAAAACCTTGTCCGATTCCGTGAGCAAAGTTAGACAATACAAACTTTGGAGGGAAAATAAAGAACTTTTTCGAATATTGTTTCGCTGATGTTAACAATATTGCAAACTTTATTTACACGGACAATGAAAGTTTTCAGTTATATGTCCCGACTTGAATCTAATTCAAATATGTAGTTATTTTAGATTCATTCATTAAAAGTGTTGGACGGGGTTTTATAAACAGACTGTATAGGTATGTCGTGATTGAAGTTTTGTAAAAAGTACAAGATTGTAAAAAATCATAATTTTAAAGCAAAATTAAAATCGTCATATAGATTTGTTATCGCATTGAAAATACGGAGCGCTATTCGAGACTTACTTGATCTCATTTTCAGTGGAATGAAATTGTATGGCATTTTTATGGTGTTAAAAAGTTCGCTCCGATGAAAAAGTGAAATTGTGATCGTGTAAAAAACTGGCACTCCAAACTGATTTAAGTTATTTGATTAAACTGAGGTGTCCAGCGCAAAGTTGCGTGGAATGTTTAATTTAAACAAAAGAAGATCTCTTAATTAAATTTAACTAAATCTTACTTATTAATTTTACTCGAGTACATTTGAGTGTTCTGTAATGAGTGTAATAAATTTTATAAGTTACTTATTTCTTACAATGGACAAAGAAAATTGTAAAGACGATTTATCATCGTCGTTGTTCATGAAACTTTTCAATTGAGCATTATGGCTAATCACGTTAGCAAAGGAATAACTTCATTATATTATCTATGGGTTTGTGCCGATGCCATAAGTTAATGTTTTGTTAAGTTTTAGATTAATTAATTCTGTTAGCATAAACGAGTTGTTATAAATAACGTTGGAGTCAATTACCGCCAATCAAAATTTGAGTAAGTCCATTTGCGAATTGTGTTTAATAAAAATCTTTAAACCATGTGCCAAAGAATGAAAAATATTGCCAGACGGTGCGCGTAAAATATTATTACTTAAGTTTTCGAATATTTTAATAATTTGCTCATATATTTCGTTGCGTCAACAAAAGTGTCAAACAATATTTCATTACTCTTAACGAAATTTTCACAGGTGAATTAAAATTAGGTGCTTGTTTACGAATCCATCTGGTTAGGAGGTGTAAATTGAAAGTTATTGTATTTTCGATAAAACATTGAACATCATAAAGAACATTCAAAATATATTTTCAGAAACTTAAAAAAAAACAACTTTTCAAGTTACGATTCTAAGGAGCCATTTAAAACGGCTTTATTTCACAACATAACCGATCGAAGTAGCATTTCTATATCTTCATAATTATCCATGTGCATTTAAGTACTTACGAAGTTTAGTCAAATTTGATGTTAGCGGTTAAATTAGTTTTTAATTATTACCCAACTAGTTATGCTCAAGGTTGTTGCCAAATAATAACAGAAATTTTGTAAATATAATACTTAAATGTTGTTAATCTTAAGGTAAATGCTATTATTATTGAATTATGTATTTATCTTTACAAAAGTGGGATAAAGATCAAAACAATGTGATTTTTAGTTTTATTTATTGGATAAGATTTCTAAGTTACCAACTAGGAAAACTAATAAAGGAATCCTAAAGATGAAAATAATAAATAATGGGTAAAGTACTGGCACCAATGACCGACAAGAACCAATGATTGTATTTTTTTTTCTCTGACCAATGAAAATATAGTATAAACAGTACGTTCATCTGAACGTTAAATTTCTTTTTGAGTGTGTATGCTGTTGGTCGCAGATGACATTTATAGCGTCACCGGGTTTGGGGACGGCGAGATCCTAAGGGGATCCAAGCCGAGAATTGGCGAGTACCTCCAGAGGTATTCCAGGCGGATGGCATCTCCCCACGGGGGGACTCTCCTCTCCGTCTGGAGCCTCTAGACCACTCGAACCTGAGGGGGCGGCTTAACTAGAGGGAGTCTCTGAGACTCGGACCTCCACTCTAGTTAGCCGTTGTCGTGGGAGGCGGGGCAAAACGCCCAGGTACGTACCTGTACCTGGCATAGCGTATCGTGTGTAGACCGGGTCTTCGCACTCTTATCTTACGGGTGCGGTGTCTGCCTAATACTAAGCTAGTGGGCAAGTATGCTAATAAGAGGAGTCTGAGACGCGTTGGCGCATTGACGGCCGACACGTTAACGCGCGTTAGCTGGCTCTTTGAGATCATTGTGTTTTCGTATTGTCGGTCATTCATTTGAACTGGTGCTTTTTATGCGTCAGACGTGTTTATCGATTGCTTGAATCGGAATAGAGAAAATGAAGATGGAAAATTTTAATACACATCTTTTTATTGATGAAATAGAAAAACGATCTGTCTATTCTAATAAAATTTTAAGGAGACATGCATGGGAAGAACTTCCTCTCTATTCTACGAACAAATTGCTGTTTTCATGTCCATTCCCGGAAAATGCGCAACTCAAACCGAACAGTCGCAGCGCAGCGGATTATGGACAATACACAAACACCTAATGCGCGCTCGACACGCACCTCACGCTTGTCATCTGAATGTGCCCTAAGAGTAGGTAACTTTCACTAAATATGGTAACACCAACCGCCCTATAAACGAGGAATAACCTAAGCCTAGTTACGCCGTGTTTTGTTCAATTCACTCAAATGCCATTTGTCATTCAATGAACAGAGACAAAACATAGAGTACCTAATCGCAGCTTATTCTTCGTTTATTAATAACGGGGTAAAAGTCTATACCTTGGTATTATAGCTCGAGCGTCTATAGAATAAATAGAATTCAGAATTCAACTGTATTTTTATGTTTGTTGCCTCCTACAAATATTATTTTAATAGTTAATTTTTTTTTAAAGTTTTTAACAAATATTTATTAGTCATACCATATATATAGTTGATACTGAGTACATTTTAAATGTGTAAGCAGGTACCGCCGTCTGTTTCGCTTCCAAGTCTATTCTGCTAAATATTTAATCTGTTTAAGGAAAACTTAAAAGGAGATAAAATAAGGAACCAATTAGGTAATATTTGTAAAAAAAATAGTATTTTCATACCCATTTCAAAGGAAATAATAAGAAAGTGAAAAAACACGACAGACGTTTGAAGCGTGGAAATGAAGTGACAATTTTTTTTGCTAATGTAATAGCCAACGTGTTTATGGCCAATGTACGGGACAAATACTCCAATATCTTCGAAACCTTCCCTAAATGATGGCTGCAACGTTGTTGAGGAAGATATACAACATGTGGAGATACAATATATTAAGGTATTTTATTAATACTATTGTCAGTAACAAAAATATCAACTTTGTACTTTGTAAGGGACAAAACGTGATTAAGCTAACAATGGTTAGGGTAAGTACAAAAATACTATGGTAATATAAAATTAAAACTCTCAACTGCTTTGCTATTGTTTTTATAATACTAGTTAACACAGCTCTCACTTTTCAGGCACATAGAAAGAGTGCTGTGTGGCTTTTTCCTATTTTGTGTTGGTTTCGCCTTTTTGTTCATTCAACATGTAATAAATCTCTTTAAAATACAAAGGTGACTTCCCTTTAGCTAGGTAGGTAGGTAGATCTGTCGTGTTATAAGCTCAACGAATAATTTTTCAAATGTTGTAAAACTTAAAAGATATATTATAGAATAAAAGTCTGAAGGTTGCAGCTAGGATAATTTGTATCAACTTCTACATCTTGAACAAAGAAAAGACATACTTTGTATTTTTTTTAATATTTCCAAATTAAAAAAAACATACAGCTAGTCATGGTACCTATATAGTAAAGGATCGTCATCATCACCAGCCTATTAATTTCCCACAGCTGGGGCATAGGCCTGCCTTATGGATGAAATAACGAGATTGGGTCGTGACCCACCACGCCGGCCCAGTGTGGATTGGCGGGTGCTAAAGATTGCAGATATAGCCGGAACCAAGCTTAGCGTGCCTTCTGAAGCACGGTGGAGCTCGAGATGATAAGTTTTTGGTCACCCATTCCGAAAGTTGCTTTAATTCTACGATCGCAGGCCGAACGCGCTAACCACCCGCGCCATCGAGCTCCTCGATGCGTCCTTTAGTATGCTTTCCATATGTTCCAAAACAAAAAACTAAACTTCATCAATTAAAAAAAAATATAGTCTAGCTGATTAATACCACAGAACAGCCGGCTAATGATTTATATAATTGTATTAGCCGATACATTCCTAATACTAAGGCTAAAATTTTAACATACTTGTCGACTCTACGAGCTCTGAGAACGACAGATTTCCGTTTATACTATTTAAACCTTGTACTTTGGAAATTTCTTAGATGTAGTACGATGTACGACGTACTACACAAATAAATCCTCTCATCTCCTCATAGGTCAAGGTTAAATCAAGTTTTGACACTCGCGCGTTTCAAGTGACTCGAATTGGGTCGACAGGCTTTAGGGCAAGAAGTTTATTATATTACAGCTGTTACCATAATCAGCATATTAAAGAAAAAGATTTCGAAAAGTTGAACCGATCTTAATGAACGCTTTTACACCAAGGGAACTCTTTCTGTTATTTTTGAAACATTTTTCTTTTCAATCATCCATTAAAATGTTATTTTTCTGATTGTAAGTTGAATATAAAATTGCCAAAGTAGAAGTAGGTACTTACTTTCGCAAATTATATTTCAAAATGTATTCTAGACTTACCTCAGAAATTTACTTAGGTACTTCTAAATACTTAGTAATAGGGTAAGAGTAGGTAGGTACGCATTATTCCTTCGTCATTCCATAGTGTAAATGAATCCAAATGGAATTTCAATTTCAAAAATGTTCATCCTTGCTCAATCCTTCTCTCACAAAAGGAGCAGGTGGGATAACTCACTGCGAGAGAGTCAGAATTCATCGTAAAGAAATAGGTCCGAGATTCGGCATTTACATCGAATCGTTTACTTATCCTTTTTTACCTTTGTTGTGGAAATTGAGGGTAAAGGAACCAACATCTTGATGACATTAAAGTTTATTGAAACTTTAGTGCTTGGAAAAAAATCCCGCAGAAATATGTCGAGTTCGACAACTGAGAGTTTTGAAAGTTGTTTATTTCAATGAGATGGCTGTATATTATACTTTTAGCCTTAACGGAAGAAATGGTATACCAAACGCTGCTATTACCAGTATTTATAAGGTATTTCGTACAAGACTCCCAAGAGCGTCGCCAAAGGCCGCAGTTGTAAAATGTAGCCAAATGTAAAGCAACCAAAGTCCTCAGTCTACTCATTTGACCTGCTTGGCTTACCAAATATCTCTGCTACCTGTACCTCGAAACTCGAATGGCTACACAAGCCCCCTTATTAATAAACGAGGCATAAACTTAGACTAATAACGCCGTGCTTTGTTCATATAAAACGCGCGGTGCGGCAACAGTGCGCCGCCGGTACCGCGAACGCTCGACAACAGGACTGTTGCCGCACCGCGCGTTTTGTAAGAAAAAAAAAGGAAAATTTAAAAAATCAAAAAACCCGACTGCTTAATTATACTTCAAATAAAAACTGAAAAGAAAAAAACAAGTTCAGTAGTCTATAATTCTCTTAATAAGGAACAAAGCTACTTTAACAGTCGGGACCCATTATTGAAAAATATAATGTATTCTTGAATATCTAATGAGTCCCGACTGTTAAAGTAGCTTTGTTCCTTATTAACAGAATTATAGACTATTGAACTTGTTTTTTTCTTTTCAGTTTTTATTTGAAGTATAATTAAGCAGTCGGGTTTTTTGATTTTTTTATTGGTAGTGTAAAGCTCGAATGAAGAGTACTCCCAGTAGTGCAATCATGGCAATTATTTTCAAAAATTTTTTTTGTTTAAAAAAATACCGAATAACATATCACAGTTAAGCACAAATGCTAAGTAACTTTTACAAATATAATCAAATAAACCTATTACTTACTTTATTTTTAAATCTTTTTCATCAATTAAATACTTATCTTATCCTAACTATCTATACTAATATTATAAAGAGGCAAGATTTGTATGTTTGTAACAAATAATCTGTCAAACTACTGAACCGGTTTCAAATAATAATTCAACATAAGGTAGCTACATTATTTATTATAACATTTTTCTTTATTTAAATACATTTTGTCCGAGTGACATAGGCTATATTTTATCCCGATAAATAAATTTCGCCCGTACAATGCCCGGGTGGAACACTAGTAAGTATAATATAATATTATAGATGCGAAAGTGAGTTTGTTTGTTGCGCTTCCGTGCCCTAATAGCTAAATCGAATATAATGAATTCCCATATAGAAGTAGATGGGAACTTGGTTCTTAGCTACAACATCGCAGTACTTATAGGCGTAAGGTGATGAAAGGGGTGATTTACCTAAAAAAAGCTACATTATTTACTTTGAATTTTGCAGAATTATTACAAAACCAATATTATCGCGAGCTGATTAATAAATACAGGGATTCCAATAAGTATGTACTTACTAGCGAAAAATGGGTTATTTGTCATTATATTAAGTAAACCTTTTTTGTAACCTTAAGTAATATCGTTAAAAAAAATGAAAAACAGTAAA